TTTTTCTAATGAAGAATTTTTCTAATGAAGAATTTTATTCAAATAGCAATAGCACTTAGATTTATATACTGTTTTACAGTGCTTTACAGCCCTCTCTAAGGAGTTTACAGAGTCAGTATATTGCTCCCAACAATTTGGGTCCTCATTTTACCCACCTCGGAAGGATGGAAGGCAGAGTCAACCTTGAGCCTGGTGAAATTTGAACTGCCAAATTGCAGGCAGCCGGCAGGCAGCAGAAGTAGCCTGCAGTACTGTACTGTAACCACTGTGCCACAGCAGCTCTTACTTATTAGCAACTTATTTGTTGCATTTAAATATTTCTTAGATTTCTATAATGCCTTTCATTTAGAAGCTCAAAATGATATGCCTAGCATTCCTTGTGATGACAATATGTGGAGAGGGGCAGGAGTTTTCTGTGGAATGTTCTAGCACTTGTCCTCTAGATCTTTGGCTTATAACATCTGTTCAGGACGTTATTAGAGATTCTTTCATAAATGCCTCTTTGGAGATAGAAAGATTCCACCCTATTTAACTGAGGAGATTAATAGATTTCTTAAATAATTAACCCTGTATCCATCAGAGGTGGACAATTATTGTACCTCCTAATTTTCAGGAAAGTAAAAGAGTTACTTTCAGATTTGTATGACTAATTACTGTAATTTTACAATAAAAGTAGTGTTGGTACTCATGGTTGTTGCTTCTTGTCTGGGTTGCCTCAAAGGGCTGTCAGAAGCAGATGACTCAACCCATTTCAAATTGGATTTAGTACAGATTATTGGGGTTGTGGCTGTCTTGATTAGCCTGATGAATAATCTTTTAGCATAGAGAGAGAGTATGATTGTTGGTTTCTTTTTGAACCTCCAGTTTTTTTTAGTGAGTCAAGCATAATGTCTTTTTGTATTGTCTATTTGGGCAACAGTTTCAGTGGCTCTGTTCCATCTCTCAGGTTATCTTTAATCCGTGTCTCTTGGAATTTTTCAAGGGCAGCTATAAAATGGTATCCTTCAGGGCTATATTCTGTCTTCTGTGCTACCTCAAAACAGTGAAGAAATTCACCAGGAATTTAGAACAAGGTATCATCGGTATGCAGATGATACTCACATGTATTTCTCTATGACCTGTTCAAAAAACACTATGGTTCCCATGCTTGTACCAATGACTGGCTGGATGAGGGATAATGTATTATAATGGAATCCAAATAAATAGAGCTGCTCCTTGTGAGAGATCAGGATTGAGAGGTGGCCGATCTGCTGTTCCCATTTTTTGCTCATCTATTAGCAAGAGAAAGATAGTCTATCCTGTATTCCTCAATGTTTCAGCTATGTACATTCTCTCTTTTTGTTACAAAACCAAACCATTCTATTTTCTGAGGCATTTTAATTGCTTTTACAGAATTTTGTCTGATTCCTATTTGAACAAGTTTTTCTCTCTTATTTTATTTGTTATATATTATATAATATTACACCTTTAACAACCATTGAAAAGTACGACAGCACTGAAAAAAACTGACTTATGACCACTCTTCACATTTACTACTATTAAAACACCCCTGCAGTCAGGGGATTCTGAATTTGCTTAATCACTATGTGATTCTTTTAATGACTACATGATTATCTGAAAGATCATGGCAAAAAAAGTAGTAACATCAAGTGTGGTCACATGATCAATCATTTAGCAACCACATCATCACCTAGTGACAGACAATCCGGTCATATTTTGAGGACGCTCTGTAACTGTTTTACCCAATGCGTATCTGCCTTGGAATCTTTGTGAAAGGTGCTTTGTGAATGCTTAAAATAGACCAAGTATGTGTGCCCTTTAATTAAATGTCAATTTGTGGAACTGAAAAAGCATGTTTTCTCTGTCACAATCCCTACCCTCTGAAACCGTATCTCCCCAGAGACAACATGGTACTCATTCTCTTAGAGTTCTGGGAGGTTCTCAAGACTTGAGTTTCTTCCTTAGGCCTATGTTTGGGATGTCTGTGGAGCCTTTGTTGAATCTTTCTTGCATGTTGAATAATGTTTTCATCTGGAGAGTTCTTTTTCTGGTGTTTTTAATATATATTGCTTATACTATAAGCTATCCAAGTCTTTTGGGAAATTTCAACAAATTCTATACAGAAACACATTTGGTCGGTTAGGGTAGATTGATATTGAACATACACAGAAGCAGAAGGTTGGGAAATGTAATGCAGTAGAGCAATGGTTCCCAAACTTGGCAACTTTAAGACTTGTGGACTTCAACTCCCAGAGTTCTCCAGCCAGAAGAGCTAGCTGGAGAATTCTGGGAGTTGNACTGTGGGGGCGATATGCTGACTCTGTAAACTGCTTAGAGAGGGCTGAAAGCCCTATGAAGCGGTATATAAGTCTAACTGCTATTGCTATTGCTAAGTTGGGGGGGTTGGGCGAGAGGGGGGGGAGGGAAGCAAATATTTGTAAAAGTTTTTTTTTTCAAAATTCTCAATTAAAAAAAAAGAAAATACTGAATTCTGCTGTGAAACAAACATGGATGGTAGAAGACTGCTTTTGGAAAGAAAGAATAGGTTTCTGAGGGAGGGAAGAAGAAGGGATACTATAAACCCAGGCTTCAAGTTTACTTCTGAGTGAGCCATTACATGGAATATATACTGTAGCCAAAATTGAGCATTTGGGCTATAAAGCTCAGCTCTCTGACATCTGCAAGTTCTCCAAATATATACTGGGGACTCTTGTAATCCCACAGGGTGGAATTCAGTGGTTGAAAAAGCTTATGTGTAAACTTATGAATCTCATCATAGTAAAATAAATATGGTGTGTGTTGCTCTGTATGTCCATAGGAGGCTATTTCTGTTTAGTTTACTTGTGGTCGTGCCTGATAAAACTCTGTTTGTGATCATGATTTGTCAATCTAATAACTTATTCCTCTCTTGCACATTTCACATATTCATACTTCCTCACTTAAAAAACTTGTGAAATCATTCCCATATCAGAAATAATGATTTTTAAAACTCAGGACCATGATTTCTCATAGCATTATCTCTGACTATAATTATACAACATGTACCATATTTTTCAGAGTATAAGACATACCTTTTTTCCTCAAAAAAGAGGGTGGAAATCTGGGTGTATCTTATATACTGAATACAGCATTTTTTTTGCCTCCCAAAACCTTTGCAAAAATAGCCGTGCATAGCTAGGAGGCTTCCAGAGTGCTCCTGGGGGCTGGGGAGGGCAAAAGTGAGCAGAAAAACAGGCCATCTTTTGCTCATTTCCCCCTCTCCCAGCCCCCAGGAGCACTTTATAAGCCTCCTAAAGGCTATGCATGCCCTCTTTTTTTGACAAACAACCGGCCTGTTTTCGCGAAAAATGGGCCATTTTTGGGAGGCCTGCAAAGTGCAAAACCTTTTTTTTAAATTTGCCTCTTCAAAATCTTGGTGCGTCTTATACCCCCAAAAATACTGTAATTTCTTGGCTTATGGACAGGGGTGGGGAGCAGGAGAAATAGTTCATGTCCCTATGATCTTTGTTTTGTTCTTCTTTAGTATTCTTAAAAGGCAAAGTGGCAAATAGGTTTTTGCAAAGAACGAAACGAGCTAATTCTTTGTTTGAGGAATTTAAACCTGGAAACATTGAAAGAGAATGCATTGAGGAGAGATGCTCAAAAGAAGAAGCCAGGGAGGCATTTGAAGATAATGAAAAAACTGTAAGTGTACAACTTGGACTGCTCTTTCTATCTACTCTTTTGGTGCATGTGTGTTTCTATGCACTTATTTCTGTGAGGCCTTCATAATCAAAATCAGATGGTATGAAATGAGTTTCAAGTATGTCTTCATTATGGAATATTTTACCAGATCATTTTTTCTGTGGTTCTTTCTGTTGCTTTTGGCTGTTCCACCCTCCTGACTATATATCTCTTTTCTCCATCCTGCTAAAGAAAACTGGAACTTGGAAGCACTTCCATCCCACATTCTGAGCATCCAACAAATCTGTGTGTCACCTAGAGCACTAAAGAAGTGCTCTTACTACATTTGCATTCATTTATTATCTTGTTATATTTTTCATCCACTTTTTATATTTGAAAATTAATCAGGTGATTAATCATGCTTAAAATCCTGCAAAAAATAAAATAAAAATAAAATCCACCCATAATCCAACTCCTCAAAATATTGGAATGGTTGTCTAAATAACTACAGCTTATCCCATTACATAAAAGGCAACAAGCTCTCAAATAAATCACCCTGATCAAGATGTGTACTGTAAATTCTAGTTCATTCTTTTCATTAAAGGAGTGTTCATATTTGCATCAGGAGAATAGAAAAAGATAACCGAGTTTTTAAAATCAGAAATATCAGAAATAACTTTTCAGCGAAAGTGCAGTTGAGGAGGAAAACTGTTTATGATATACTGTGATATATTAGTATTAGTGCTTAATCACTGGTCAATTCTTCTTAAATTATTTTTCTTCAATTCCCTGGCTTTGTGATTTTTATTTTATACTATTAAATTCTAATGTGCATGTGTATGTTTTTTTTTAATCAGGAGAAGTTCTGGAATGTTTATGTAGGTAAGAGATCATCTGCTTTTCCTCCACACATTTTTCCTAACATTATNGGGAGGGAAGCAAATATTTGTAAAAGTTTTTTTTTTCAAAATTCTCAATTAAAAAAAAAGAAAATACTGAATTCTGCTGTGAAACAAACATGGATGGTAGAAGACTGCTTTTGGAAAGAAAGAATAGGTTTCTGAGGGAGGGAAGAAGAAGGGATACTATAAACCCAGGCTTCAAGTTTACTTCTGAGTGAGCCATTACATGGAATATATACTGTAGCCAAAATTGAGCATTTGGGCTATAAAGCTCAGCTCTCTGACATCTGCAAGTTCTCCAAATATATACTGGGGACTCTTGTAATCCCACAGGGTGGAATTCAGTGGTTGAAAAAGCTTATGTGTAAACTTATGAATCTCATCATAGTAAAATAAATATGGTGTGTGTTGCTCTGTATGTCCATAGGAGGCTATTTCTGTTTAGTTTACTTGTGGTCGTGCCTGATAAAACTCTGTTTGTGATCATGATTTGTCAATCTAATAACTTATTCCTCTCTTGCACATTTCACATATTCATACTTCCTCACTTAAAAAACTTGTGAAATCATTCCCATATCAGAAATAATGATTTTTAAAACTCAGGACCATGATTTCTCATAGCATTATCTCTGACTATAATTATACAACATGTACCATATTTTTCAGAGTATAAGACATACCTTTTTTCCTCAAAAAAGAGGGTGGAAATCTGGGTGTATCTTATATACTGAATACAGCATTTTTTTTGCCTCCCAAAACCTTTGCAAAAATAGCCGTGCATAGCTAGGAGGCTTCCAGAGTGCTCCTGGGGGCTGGGGAGGGCAAAAGTGAGCAGAAAAACAGGCCATCTTTTGCTCATTTCCCCCTCTCCCAGCCCCCAGGAGCACTTTATAAGCCTCCTAAAGGCTATGCATGCCCTCTTTTTTTGACAAACAACCGGCCTGTTTTCGCGAAAAATGGGCCATTTTTGGGAGGCCTGCAAAGTGCAAAACCTTTTTTTTAAATTTGCCTCTTCAAAATCTTGGTGCGTCTTATACCCCCAAAAATACTGTAATTTCTTGGCTTATGGACAGGGGTGGGGAGCAGGAGAAATAGTTCATGTCCCTATGATCTTTGTTTTGTTCTTCTTTAGTATTCTTAAAAGGCAAAGTGGCAAATAGGTTTTTGCAAAGAACGAAACGAGCTAATTCTTTGTTTGAGGAATTTAAACCTGGAAACATTGAAAGAGAATGCATTGAGGAGAGATGCTCAAAAGAAGAAGCCAGGGAGGCATTTGAAGATAATGAAAAAACTGTAAGTGTACAACTTGGACTGCTCTTTCTATCTACTCTTTTGGTGCATGTGTGTTTCTATGCACTTATTTCTGTGAGGCCTTCATAATCAAAATCAGATGGTATGAAATGAGTTTCAAGTATGTCTTCATTATGGAATATTTTACCAGATCATTTTTTCTGTGGTTCTTTCTGTTGCTTTTGGCTGTTCCACCCTCCTGACTATATATCTCTTTTCTCCATCCTGCTAAAGAAAACTGGAACTTGGAAGCACTTCCATCCCACATTCTGAGCATCCAACAAATCTGTGTGTCACCTAGAGCACTAAAGAAGTGCTCTTACTACATTTGCATTCATTTATTATCTTGTTATATTTTTCATCCACTTTTTATATTTGAAAATTAATCAGGTGATTAATCATGCTTAAAATCCTGCAAAAAATAAAATAAAAATAAAATCCACCCATAATCCAACTCCTCAAAATATTGGAATGGTTGTCTAAATAACTACAGCTTATCCCATTACATAAAAGGCAACAAGCTCTCAAATAAATCACCCTGATCAAGATGTGTACTGTAAATTCTAGTTCATTCTTTTCATTAAAGGAGTGTTCATATTTGCATCAGGAGAATAGAAAAAGATAACCGAGTTTTTAAAATCAGAAATATCAGAAATAACTTTTCAGCGAAAGTGCAGTTGAGGAGGAAAACTGTTTATGATATACTGTGATATATTAGTATTAGTGCTTAATCACTGGTCAATTCTTCTTAAATTATTTTTCTTCAATTCCCTGGCTTTGTGATTTTTATTTTATACTATTAAATTCTAATGTGCATGTGTATGTTTTTTTTTAATCAGGAGAAGTTCTGGAATGTTTATGTAGGTAAGAGATCATCTGCTTTTCCTCCACACATTTTTCCTAACATTATATTTAAATATATGCAATGTATTTGATGACTAGGATAAATTAAAATTGACCAGTCTACCCCCATTTTTTATTAATCCAGATTCTTAAATCCTTCTAAGAAAAATCCCAGTTATAGATACTCTAAAATAAGGCTATAAACAAGTTATTATTATCCATATGTGGGGCATTTCAAAGTCCATAGTTTCTGCAGCCATTAATATCCTACTCAAATAAAGTCATCTGGGAAAACTTCTAATTATTTATTTTTATTTTATTTATTTATTTAGTTTGTCACTCATGTACAAGATAACAGGAATAAGAATATGAACATGAATAAGGACACAGGAAATGGGTTCAAATAAACAGGGACAATAGGACTGGGACGTTAGACACGCTGGTGCACTTATGCATGCCCCCTACTGACCTCTTAGGAATGGTTGAGTAGACAGCTTAAGGTTAAGGTTATGGGGATTTGAAGATGTAACAACAGAGTCAGGCAGTGCATTCCAGGCATTGACAACTCTGTTGCTGCAATTGAGTTTGGTGCTGCAATTGAGTTTGGTGTGGTTTACCTTGAGTTTGTATCTATTGTGTGCTTGTGCAGTTGAAACTGAAGTAATCATTGACAGGTAGGACATTGTAGCAGATAATTTTGTGTACTACGCTTAAGTCAGACCATAGGTGGCATAGTTCCAGGTTGTCCAAGCCCAAAATTTCAAGCCATAAGGCATAAGGTATTACACAATTTGGTCAAACTTTATCCATAGCACCATCTGTCCACAGAACCAAGTTTCCTTTTCCTATAAAGGGCTGAAGTAATGTAGTTCCATGTGTTAAACTTGTTTAGATTTGCTATATACCTTGTCAGAAAGCTTTCTTGGTAATTTGCGTGTAAGCTCCTCCTCCGTGCAGAGTATTTGTTTGATAAAGTTGATTGATCCAAAGTTGAGTATAAGTATTATTCATTATGTCCATCTTAAAAATTCCATACTTGGTACTGTATTTAAACTTCTCTTCCCAGAAATAGTGTAACAGTAACTTGGATTTTTCTTCTGAACATGTAAATACAGTATTTCTGCATTTTGGATTTTAACTTCTTTTTTTTCATGATAGATGGGGATCAGTGTTTATCAAACCCCTGTCATTATGGTGCGACATGCAAAGACGGCATTGGTAGCTTTAGCTGTACCTGCTTGGATGGCTATCAGGGGAAAATCTGTGAATCTCGTAAGTTGAGCTGGAACCAGAAGGCTTAAGGGGAAGAATAGAGTCATTTTATTGCTATGGCCCCAATGATGCTTCAATCTAAGTGACTGTCAGTTCCCATAAGATTTCACTGAAATCTTTGAAGATTTGGGGGGTGGGAGGAACCTCACATCTTTTCAAATTTTTTACAAGACTTGTTAAGAGGAGGGTAGGAGGAGGAAGAAGGATGCCCAAATAAAATTAACACAATTTTCCAAGGTTTAGCTGCCATCCAAGAAAAAAACATATGTGGCCCAGATTTAGTTTATGGGAAGTTAACAGCTTTGTAGGTGAACTGGTGTCTTGAATATATGGTAGCTTCTTAACAATATTCTTGGCAGAAGTAATGGAAAAGGATGTTTCTAAGTGTATGGACAATCCATTCAGAAATATTAGAAGATAAAAAGCACTTGGATGGATCCAGTCAGACTGTTTTTTTAGCTAACATCCTCGCCTCAGGTCTACAACTGGTACAGTATACAGTGAAAAAAAGCAGTAGCTTGGTTATCCTTGAATTTCTCTACTTATCTTTTAAAACTAGTTGGCCATTGTCTGGAACTATGATTTCAAGATTCTTTTTCTGATCAGCCATAGCTAGCTCAGACCTAATTAATGTGTATGTGAAATAGGTGGAGTTTTTACACTGATATCTAAAATGTGGAATTTGATTACACTAACCTGCTTTTTTAAAGGACATTTACTAAAATGGACTAATCTTACTCAGGCTGGATGGGTGCACTCCTATCCCAATATGAAGATGGAGCCAGGATAAAGAAATGTGCAACTAACTGCCCCACTCCCCCCAAAAATATAATCCCAAGTTTAGCTGATAGGTTTCCTCTATTTTGTGGGAAAATACATGAGGCTTATAGTTTTCTTCAATTTGTCCCATCAATAGTTGAAAATAAAGTCCATTGGCAGAAAAGAGTGAGGACGCCGGATTCCTACCAGCTGTTCTGATCCAGCCTTAGCAGAAACAAGAAACAGACTCCTTGTCCTGAAAAACCCCTCTTTATTTATCTCCTGTGAATTAATGGCATTCACATACCGGAAAGTCCAGGCAATAGTCCTTCAAAGAGTTAACTGCAGTAACAGACCTTATCAGTTCTTTGACATAATTGCCAGACCATGAGCTCCCAGCTGCAATATTGCAAATTAAGTACTGGCAAGTACCGTAGTCTC